TGGGATCCTCCTGCCTCAGCCTCCTGAGCTGCTGGGATCACAGGCATGCGCCACTGTGCCTGGCTTCTACTGGCTTCTACTTCTTTCTTTCTAGTAATTTCTAATACGCCATTCATTTAACTGAACATTGCATTTATCTAATTAAGTGTTTCACATTAGTTACGTGTAGGTTGTTTTCTGTTTGTGATGTTTCAAACAGTAATGGAATCGATACCCTGTTACATTAATCCTTGTGTATTTATACATTATCTTTCTGGGAGATACTCTTTTGAGAGGTGGAAGTGCTAAATTGAAAGGAGTATGCCTGTTGTTTTGTCTTTGATTAAACTGAATTTATGATTTAACTTTATTTTCGAACATGTTGAACTTTGACATGATTGAAAATGTGCACGCGGATACCCCACCTCCATCCCGTGCCCTCCTAGAGGGAACCGTGTTTGTTTCTCGTGTTTTTCTTCTAGTGTTCCTTTTTTCAAATCATAGGAAGCATTTGAACTATTTTAAAAGTTAGGTGATGGCCAACATTTCTTTCCTTCCCCATGTGGACCAGTGTGGCCTGGGTACCCGGTTGGCACTCTGGAGCATCCGGTGGAAACTTCTCTCTCCAGGACATTTGCAGGTGTTCGAGGAGGAGGAGGAGAGAAATCGGGGGCTGAGCCCACTGTCCACACCAGCCTAGCAGCGGGGTGTTGGGGGAACAGCTCCCCCAGCCGTGCCTGCGCACGGGGCACAGAACTTTCCAATAAGGTTCCCCCAACTCCCACCGAAGGCCAGGTTGATTTCTGAGTCTTACACGATGGTGGGCAGTGGCAGCTAAGTCTGAATCCAAATCCAAAGGATCGAAGGCGCTCGACACAGTGCTTTATTGTCTTGTCACCTGGGGGACGTCCAGTCTCTCCTCCGCTGGGAACAGGGGTTGGGCCCTGCTCTGCCGCAGGCCCAGGGCTTGGCAGTGGAGTACAGCAGTCCAGTGTGCTCAGTGTCGGGTGTCCTCAGCATCCTCCTGCAGAGCTCTGTCCCCAAGTCACCCTTCTGCAAAGCCTCCCCAGGCCCTCTCTGGCACATGGTCCCATTGCATGTCCCCAGAGCTGTCCACTCTCCATTGCTCCTCTTATGGTCATAGCTGTGTGATCGTTCGTGACCTTTGGTGATCCGGGACGCCCTCTTCAGCACGCTCTCTTGAAGACAGGGAGCAGTTCTGGCTGGAGCCCCCTCTCTGTCCCGATGGATCTCCGTGGGTTCCAACAGCCCATTGAGCTCATCTCGCTTCCAGTTGAGTCCCCAATGAAGCAGAGGCCCGGCACTTAGTAAGTGCTCAGTGAATATTTGTCGACTGACTAAAGGAGCAGACCCATGGCGCCAGCTCTTGTAAACCTCCTACCTGGGTGATCGGCCCACAGGGACTCACCTCCCGCGTTTCCTGAAGCCTGGCTCTTGCCCAGCCCTCCCTCTCTGCCACCTTCCAGTGGGGCTGTCTATTAATCTCATCCCTGCCCTCCTCCTCCATCCTCCCTGCCAGTCTGCTGGCCCAGACGCCCCTCGCAGTGCGGTCCGGCACTTCGCCACACACCCTCCTGCGCGGGCTGATTGGTATCTGTTAATTAATGTCGCCCAGGGCCTCTCTCCTACTCAGAGACCTGATAAGGGAAATTGAATGTCCATTTCTATCTGTCTTTTATTGCCTCCCGACTCCCCCGGCCCCCACGCACCCTCACCCATGCTGGGGAATCTAGATGGTGACACACACTCAGCTGACCCCTCTGTGTCCCAGCCTCTCCCCAGAAGGCATATCAATCAGCTCCTCACCCCGTGTGGGTGGCTGCAACCCTTCCCACCCGCTGGCTGATCTCCTCGTGTTCCAGTAGCCCGTTGGTGACCCAAAGCCCAGGCTGTTCAGATGGGACCAGGTTCAGGACAGCCTGCCGGGGGAGGTGGCCTGCCGCCCCAGGAGCGCCCCCTAGGGGTGAAGAGTCACACGCTGGTTGGAAACCAGGGACAGATGAGGGGGCATGGATCACAGAAGCCAAGGAGATCAGCCATGAAAAACAGGGTGCACCCAGGCCACAGGCACATGCAACGGGAAGACAGGAGTGAGGCACATCAGGTGTCCGGGACATCAGCAGCTTCGCAGCGCCTGGCTGAGGGCCACTGAGAGCCGCCGTGTGCTGGGAGTGCTGCTGGGTGTTCAAGTGCATCTTTTCGACCTCAGGACACCGTGACATCAGCTAATGGCAGCCAGGCAGGGCGAGCTCCTACATCAGCAGATCCTTCAGGGGCAGAATTACCCCAGGAAAAAGAATCCCTTAATTTCTGTGCACAGAGCCAATGGCTTTGTGAACACTCTTTCTCCTTCAAATTAACGTAGCATGTCAGTGTGGGAAGCCATCGTGCAGCCCCTGAGGAAGGTACTGCCTCGTGTTTAGTAGTGAAGATGTGTGGCCAGGCATGGTGGCTCTCGCCTGTCATCCCAGAGACTCAGGAGGCTGAGGCAGGAGGATCACAGGTTCGAGACCAGCCTTAGCAACTTAGGCTGTAAACGATTTAGCAAAACCCTGACTCAAAATAGAAAATAAAGGGGGCTGGGGATGTGGCCCAGTGGTTGAGTGCCCCTGGGTTCAATCCCTAGTACAAAAAAAAGAGAAAAGCTGTATGAGAATCAGTGATCTTACTCTTTCTTTCTTGGCCTCTTGTTAATCGAGATGTTAATCGACGGTGCCTATGTTAAGTACATATATAATGCAATTCCAGTATGTCATCTTCGTTTGACAAATGTTGACCTTAGCTCATATTAATAAGAGCCCAACAAATACTAATTATGTCCTCCTGTCCTCACCATCTCATTTAGACTCCACAGGAACACAGGAGAGGAGGCTGAGGCCTGGCAGAGGCCACAGAGAAGCTGTGCTAGTGAACCGGGAGGGGGGGTTCCAGTCCAGGGCAAGGCGGCTTCCTGGTTCTGGAGGCACCCCTACCCAACCTCCACTCACTGTGGAGTCGGCCTTCTTGCTAGCAGGGAGGGGGAACCCCAGTGACCCCCAGAACAAAATGTTGTTGAAGGAGAGTGATGTACTCAGAAGGCCGAGGCAGGAGGATGGCAGGGTAGAGGCCAGCATGGGTGGCTTAGCAAGACCAATGTGGAGCTCTGGTCATGTAAGTCCTTCCTGTGAGTTTTGAGTGTGGCTCATTCACCACGGAAGGACGTGGGTTTAGCAGCTACCCAGGGATGCCCCCTGTAGCAGGTTCTGGCAGTGCCAAGGACAGAGGAGCCTGCCCCTGACCACCGCGGCCCTCCTCCCGCAGGTTTCTCGAATCTTTCCCTGGGCGACCAGATGAGCCTGCTGCAGAGCGCCTGGATGGAGATCCTCATCCTGGGCATCGTGTACCGCTCGCTGCCCTACGACGACAAGCTGGTGTACGCCGAGGACTACATCATGGACGAGGAGCACTCCCGCCTGGCCGGGCTGCTGGAGCTCTACCGGGCCATCCTGCAGCTGGTGCGCAGGTACAAGAAGCTCAAGGTGGAGAAGGAGGAGTTTGTGACGCTCAAGGCCCTGGCTCTGGCTAACTCAGGTAGGGGCCGCGTGGGGTCCGAGTCTCTGGGGCTGTAAGCTGGGCTGCGAAGGGTGGGGAGGGCCGGAAGGTGCTGCCCCTGTTCTCCGCAGCAGAGCTGGGGCAGAGCAGGTGGCCAGGAGTTGAGAAGACGGTGACATCCAGTTCCAAATGCTGCTTAAGGACACAGAGTCAGGTTGCCCAGGGTCGAATCCTGCTTCCCCCACTTGAGCAAGCTGCTTCACTCTGAGCCCAAGTTTTTGTTTTAATCAATAAAATGGGGACAGTAAACAAACCTTACTGCACAAGACTATGGAAAGGATTTATTTATACACAATTATATTATGCTTACAACATGCCTGGCACGTAATAAGTGCTCAGCTTGTTCAGTTAGGGTTTTTTTGTTGTTGTTGTTGTTGTTGTTTTGTTTGTTTGTTTTTTCAGTTGTGTTGGACACAATACCTTTAATTATTGGCTTTTATGAGGTGCTGAGAATGGAACCCAGGGCCTCACATGCACCAGGCGAACGCTCTACCCCTGAGCCATAACCCCAGCCCCTGTTTCTTTTTTTTTTTTTTTTTTTTGCCACTGGGGATTTAACCTAAAGGTGCTTAACCACTGAGCCACATCCCCAGCCCAGCCTTTGTAAAATATTTTATTTAGACAGAGTCTTGCTGAGTTGTTTAGGGCCTCGCTGAGTTGCTGAGGCTGGCTTTGAATTCGTGAACCTCCTGCCTTAGCCTCCTGAGTCACTGGGATGACAGGCATGTGCACAACATCCAGCCTGGATCTAATTCTTACCAACGGCCCTGTGAGAAAATTTTTAATTATTGGAGCCACATTTTACAGATGTGAGAACTGAGGCTGGAAAAGTTAAAAAAAAGAAACAAAAAACAAATGTCCAGAGTTAAGACCCAAACCAGGGTCACCTAATTCCAAAATCAGCCCAAGCTTTTATCGACTCCTTAAAACTTTCCATCAAATTGCTTGAACACCTGAAAATGAAACCTTCCCAAATGAACCATTGAGTCTGTCGTCTAAGAAAAGAGCATTCCCAGGCTGGGAACGTGGCTCAGTGGTAGAGCACTTGTCCAGCGTGTGCAAGGCCCTGGGTTCAGTTCCCAGTACCACCTCTCCCTCACCGAATGCCCCCAGAGAGGGAGAATTTATCCCGTTTAACCATTTTACCAACTTCTGGCTAGATTACCTAGGGTGAGGGGGCGGACTGGGAAATGGTGGGTGAACTTGAATGTGTCCATGTGCGCACTGAGCCCATGCAGGCTACGGGGTGCCTGCCCAGGAGTCTGCCAGCAAGGCAGGCATGGGATTCTGCAGGGCAGTGCGTGGTGAAGCCAACTGCCCAGGTCTGGGTCACAAGGACCCAAGTTCAACTTCTGTCTCTGACATTTCCCTGGCAGCAAGACCTTGCTCAGCTCTGTTCTTTGTGCACTGGGGATATCTGATACCTCTTTCAAGCACTTTTGTGAGGGTTAATGAACAACTGGAGGTAAAGCACTTTGTCCAGTGCCTGGCCTAGAAGAAAAGTTTAATGAATATTAGTTATTACCATTCCTATTCCATTCCTATGTTAGAGGAGACTAAGTGTCATCAGCGCTTGGCGAGGGAGGCTGCTGGAGACACGCAGGGCCACCCACCCGGGAGCTCCATACTGTCCCTCTTTGACTGAAAGCCCCACCTTCCAGGAAACCCCTCATACCTGCAAACTGGGACAGCTGGTCACCCTAACGTGGCTTCATGGTTCATTTAGACCTTTGCCTGAATGTGACTGATCCCCCAGGTGCTGAGCTCTGCGGCTGACCTCCCACAGTCACCCTCCTAGACTCAGCCCTGCTCCGCCCAACCCCAGGCAGTTAGTTTTTGGCTCCACCCCTGGGCACTGTCAGCCAGGGGTGGACCCACGAGGGCAGACTGGATCAGAGCTCTGTGTGGATCGGGCCTCGTCCGCCTTGCCCCCATTTCTTGTCTTCTGACGCATGCCCTCCACAGGCCCTTGTACCCAAGTCCCTGCCGAGGCTGTGCTCCTGGGGACCCTCACCTCATACAGAGGCAAGCGCTGTGTTTGGTTCAGTTCCATTTTATTAATAATAAATGAATATAAAATAATAATTAACATTTCATAGGGATTGTTTACACTTTCAGAGTCCAAAATTGTAATGCATTCTTTGGTGCAGAGTTTTCTAGCACCCAGCTTTGCCCGAGTGTGCCCTTGGTCGCATGGGATGAGGTTCCAGCCTCTTGCCCACCTGGCATCTAGAGGCCATCCTGTGGCTGGTGCGTGGGTGCGAGATTCTCTGAGTGCAGGATGGCCTCAGCAAAAAGCAAGGCGCTGAGCAACTCGGTGAGACCCTGTCTCTAAATAAAATAAAATTTAAAAAAAGGAGGCTGGGGATGTGGCTCAGTGGTTGAGTGCCCCAAAACAAACAAACAAAAACAAACAAACAAACAAACAAAAAAGCAGCACTTTCCAAGGTGCCTGTAATGAAGGATCCATTTTTAAATGTTTTAAACTTTTTGATTTATCACAGCTGATCATTTTGTAAAATACAACAAAAACGAATTATTATAAAAATGAGATTTAAAAATCAGATATACAAAGTATCAGCCCATTTTTTAAAATTTCTAGATGCCATAGACGAAAGGAAAACGTATCCTGTCAAGTTGCTCTAAAGTTTCCAAATACTCTCAATTTCTACCCCGAGTTTACCCAGGCCACTGTTAACCAACCAGAGGCCAGAGGGGACCCGTCTGGTCCCTGTGCTCAGAACAGCACAGCTTTGAAGAGTAGACTTCAGGACTGGCCAGCCCCAGGTTCAAACCCTGCCTGTGAGTTTGGAGCAGCCAGCCTCTCTGAGCAGCCTTTTCCTCCTCTGCACAGTGAGGCACCTGCTCGCCGCAGGTGCTTCTGCTCGTCTCTGCCAGGCCTAGTGCTGGCAGCCTGGGGAAGAGGCCGTTGGATACAGTCCCTGACCCCAGATTGGGGGGGGCGGCATGAACATGGGCAAAGCCAGAACATGTTCCCAGCACAGTGGAGGCTCGTGCAGAGGCTCCGGGAGAGGTTTTCAGAGGGGAGTGGAGAAGGCTCTGCAGTGGAGCAGTCAGCGCAAGGCAGGAGATGGGAAGAACGCGCCCTCTGCACCCCGAGCATCTCGCACCTGAGCACTGAACACAGGGTGGCCTCTAGATGCCACTGGGCAAGAATCCAGGTTCCTTGAACCTCATCCCCTGTGACAAGAAGCTCAAGGCTGGGCCGGCCTGGGTTGGAATGGCCTCAGTCCAGGAGCCAAGAAGTGTCCGCAAGTGACCTGTCCCCAGCCTTGGGGAATCACCCAGGTGGCATGGAGGAGAGATGGGGTCCAGGAGATCACTGAGGAGGTCCTGGAGGCCTGTGGGTGCCACTGTGAGGTTGAGCAGATGAGACGTGGCGGGGTTCAGTCGCTCAGTGGCTCATGCCAGGCAGGAGCAGAGCACGTTGGAGTGAGGCCAGGCCCCAGAGCTCAGCCTCTCGGGAGCCTGCGGTCCGCCGTTCACCCCACATCCCGGCCATCTCCAGGGCTCCCTGACAGCGGGAAAAATTCATAGCCATTGATTTTGTAATTAACAGTTTATCAATGCCATCGATACAGACTTGCTGATGGATTGTGGAGAAATTAATCTTGCAATGTTATTTTATTTCATTTTTGGTCGAAGACACCTGCCAATTTTGGCCTCCTGGGGGAAGGAGAGGAGGGTGACCGGACAGGGAGGGGGAGCTGGACAGAGTCAGGGAATCCAGGTGGCCAGGGTCCAGCCTTGCAGGGACCGGCCACATTTTGATTTACATTGTAAATGACTGTAAATGACTTAGAGTATAGGAACAGAGCCACGTTCCATCTCCCGATTGGCAAAGGAGTCCTTGCTGGCTTGGTAACCGTGGAAAAATGTGGAGGAGACTTGGGTATGGCCAAGGATTACCCAGCCCTGCAAGGACACTCCCCCCAGACCCAGTCCCCCCAATAATGATAATAATAGGTAAATACTAGGTGCCGACTAAATACCTGGTGATGTGCCATTTCCTTTAACCCTTACCACCATACAAGGCTGATATGTCTTTGTGCCTATTTGCTCTGTACAGATAAAGAAACCATCTAAGAGAGGCTAAGTAGCCTGGCCAAAGTCACACAGCATTTGTGTCTCTACAGTCTTTTTCTGTCATTCTTCTGCTCCCAACCCAGAAAGAGGCCGGATCCTGGAGGGCACAGGCAGAGTATAGCCCCAGAGGGTTGGGAGAGTCACCAGGATCAACCAGTCCTTTGGCCAGCCTTGGGCACCACAGTTCAGGGTCATCAAGGAAGGTCAAAAGAAGTCTGGTTCTCTCTCCCAGGGAGTGGGATTCCCTTTGACTCAAATGCATGTTAACATAGTGTCAGCAGCACCTCCCTGCTGTGGTGAGATTTAGGTGCATTTCATTCAAATCCTCAATTCGTGGCCTAAATTCAAAGTCCCTCCCGTTTATTTTTTCGTCTTTTGCGGTGCTTGGGATGGGACCCATGGTGTCACACATGCTAGACATGCACTCTGCCACTGAGCCACCCCAGCTCCCTCCCTGAGGGTCTAGAGCCCTCCCTCCTCCAGCTCCTGCATCACTGGGCCCCAGGCGCCTACCATGGGGTGCCCTGACCTGCTTGGCCCTGTCGTTCACAACTGCACTGTGGACCAGAGGAGCTGGCGCCAGCAGGGTGGTGACAGTGACGGTGATGGTGATGGCAATGGCGACCTGCTCCCTGGGCACGCACTAGTGATACCTACTGTTCTAGCCCTTAGGCAGGATAACTTCTTTAACCCTTTGAGGTAGTTCTGGCCGTTATCCCATTTCCCAGATGAGGAAAGTGAGGCACAGAGAAATTAATGTCATGTATCTGGCAGGTGAGGGACACGGGATTCTAGCACTGGCACCTCCAGGGACCCAGACAGCCAGCCCCTCTGGTGTCAATGTGGGTGCTTCCTGGTGGCCCCGTCCTTAGATGCAGGTCTGCGCCCCAGCTTTAACGTGTCCTCTGTGGCCTCGGGCCCACAGCATGACCTCTCTGTGCTTGTGCGGCAGGCCACTCACAAGTGCCTTGTGCCCGCAGATTCCATGTACATCGAGGACCTGGAGGCCGTGCAGAAGCTGCAGGACCTGCTGCACGAGGCGCTGCAGGACTACGAGCTGAGCCAGCGCCACGAGGAGCCACGGAGGACGGGCAAGCTGCTGCTGACGCTGCCCCTGCTGCGACAGACGGCCGCCAAGGCCGTGCAGCACTTCTACAGCGTCAAGCTGCAGGGCAAGGTGCCCATGCACAAACTCTTCCTGGAGATGCTGGAGGCCAAGGTCTGACGGCCCGCCCACAGACCACGCCCACCCATGGACAGACCAATGACGGACCGCGGTGGAGCCCTCACAGCCACCAGCCTCCACCTCGACCCCTGTATCATGGCTCTAAGCTGTGCCAGCGGAGGGGCCTCCGCCTCCTGGCTGTGTGTGCAGACTCCTGGGTGCAGTGGGGTGGGTGGACGGGGACGGGACAGGACGGGAGGGAAGGGGCGTGGGGCTCATCTGTCACCCGCTTTTTCTTTGGTATGTCTTTCCTTCTCACCAGCAGTGCTCAGGCCTGGCCCAGGGCTGACGCCCCTTGGGACTGGAGACCATCAGAGGAAGTGCCCACTGTCCCTGCCAGGCCACCAGGAGGCAGCGGGGCATTTCCCGGCCCTCCTGGGGTGTGGGGCCTGGGTGGGCAGTGCTCAGGGCAGGTGGAGGGCAGGTCCTGGGTTCAGCAGCAACTCCCGGAGGCCCTGCCTGTGCCTAGGCCCTCAGCCTCCCTCTTCACGAGGCTCACACCTTCCACAATCTAGATGGCTGCCTCCTCCTCCTCTCAGCCCCCCACCCCCCCACACACAGCAGGAAACCTGGGTGTTCCCAGGCTAGATAGAATGCCTGGGCCACTGCCTCTGTGCCCTCCCACCTGCCTGCCACTCATCTTCCTCCTCCTCCTCTCCTTTCTCAGGAGGCCCCTGCCCCACCTCAGCTCACTCAAAGTGACTTCAGCCAGCAACAGTGACCCCAGGGCTCAGGGAAGAGCCGGGGGCTCCTCTGCTTCATCCATCCTCCTCCTCCTCCTCCTCCTCCTCCTCCTCCTTCAGAGCAGGTGCAGACCAGAGGGCTGGTGGGAAGTTTCCGCCCAAGGGCCTGGGGGACTCTCTAAGGCTGGCAGTTGTGGGAGAGGTGGGGGCAGGTTGGGAAAGACCCCAACCCACCTTTGCCCAGAACACAAAGAATCAGCAGCAGAGAGCAGGTGCAGGTGCAGGTGAGCCCTGGAGATGGGGTCCAGGGGGGCCCAGCTGCCAGTTCCTTTCTGGCTCCCCGGGCAGTGGACCCCAGAGATACCCATCCTCTGCATTCCATAGGGTCAGGTACACAAGGGCCACCAAGGAAATTTGGTGGTAGCTCTCCTGGCCAGCTCTGGGCAGGAGAGGGTCTTGCTGCTACATAGGGGACCTACCAACCCCCTTTGCCCAGGACTTTCCCAGTTTTAACCAGGAGCATTCTGTGTCCCAAGAAACCCCTCAGGCCAGGCACATGGGCACATTTCAGTGGCTGGCCACTCAGGTGGCATCTCTGAATCCTTGCACCTGGTGCTCAGGGGGTGGCCGAGGGCAGCCTGGAGGATCTGGGGTGAAGGCAATAAGCCTCTGCCAATCAGCTGCCTTCACGGCAGGGGTCAGAGCAGACCCTCCAGGGACACTGCGAGTCCCCAGCCCACGCCTTTGTAACTCCGCCTCCCCTTCCTGGGAGAGGCAGGCAGATCTCTGTTGTCTGGGACACCAGGTGTCTTGTCCAGCTTTTCCGTCAGAAGAGGTTGCTGTTTCTAGGGGACACCAGGTGGACCAGAAGCTGCTGGGCCTGAGCCACATGAGGACAGGCTGAGGTCACCAGGAGATCCCCCCCTTTTCTTTGGCCTGTGGGGAGTCTGAAGGCCTAAGTTGCTGGGTGAGCTGACTCCGAAGCTGCTGGTGCCCTGACCTCACGCTGCCCTTGTCCCCGACCTGGGTGGGTGTGCATGGTCACTGCAGTCACCACCTTGGCATTAAGGAACCCAAGCTGAACACCAGGTCATAACTAAGGGCCAAGGCCTGACCTGGAGGGTCCTCAGCAAGGGAACTTGGGGAGTGCTCTCTGGGGTGTCCCCAGCTTCCCTGCTGCAAGCCAGAGGAGGGGTGCAGAGGGCAGCCTCTCATTACCAGGTACCAGCTTGTCTGCACTGTCACTTCCCGTCCAAACTCAAGGGGACTTGTGCACGCTGGCATGTGTGTCCACCTTTTCTGGGGAAAGTGCCCTGTCACACAGGCCCTGCTTTGGAGCAGGTGGGTGTTCTCCACGGGGGCACCTTTGCTGGCTTGTGCCTGGTGCTTCTGCAGATGCCCCAAGTCAGACCTTCCCAGCAGAGTGGGGTGCAGGCCTGCCTGGGGAGCAGCTGTCACAGGAAATGCCCCCGTTACCACGGGAACTCAACCCGGTGGGAAAACCCTGGTGTGGACTTGGGGGCCCCTTGGACACCCAGCGGAGGGCAGCGGCCGACTTGTTAGTTGTCAGCCCAGCTAGATGTGGGAGCCGGGACTGCGAGGAGAGTCCAGGAAGCCCTGTGCCCCCAAATCTGCCATTTCTAGAAAATCTGTAAAGAGGAAACGACCCTTCTCAGTTGTACACTCATGATACAGGTCATTTGAAACCAACCAAGAAATAAAAACATGGCAATCCAACCGCAGAGAAGGTGGTGCTGGCTGGGTTTTGTTTGGTTTCCTTGTTCCCGTCCTTTCTAAAGGTTCCCGATGGCACGTGTGAACTTGAGGGTGTCTCCCGTTTGGGGCCTATGTAAACTTCATGGATTTCCCAGGCTGCAGTTTGAGGACTGAGCCCAAGGCTCCAGGGAGCAGGAGATCAGGGCCTCCAAGAACAACCTGCCCCATCCTGTTGGGCCCCCTACCCTCCAGCCTCTGCCCTCCCCGGGGCCAGGGAGAGGAGCGAGGGATGGAGACAGGCCTGTGACAAAGACCACACAAGGGACCAGAGTCTGTGCCCACAGAACAGCACCAAAGAAAAGCACTATGTTGAAAGATGGCTTTATTTTCTAATAATGATGATACGGCTGGAATGGCTTCTTGAGATGTATATATTTTTAAACGGCAGTCTCTCGTGGCCGCCTCACCCCCTGTACGTAACCCCACCCCTGTCTGTGTTCTCCCAAAGACCTCCATGTAAATCACATGCCCTAGGATTCTTCCCGCCCTGGTCCCGTGTATCTGGAATCTAATAAATAAGGAAAGCCCTGTTGGAGAGTCTCTGCACACGTTATCTTTTCAGGCTTGCTGTTCTCTGGACAGAACTGCTGCCAGGTGTCCAAGCTAATGCAGGAAAGGCCATCAGGGAGCCACCTCAGCCTCCGAGGTCTCAGGGTGGGGTGGGGTGGGGTGGGGGTTCCATGGACATTTTAAAAGCACCATCCGCATTTACCTGGATGCATGGGACACCCAGCACCACAACCAGTCAATCAAATTGTGATCAGCAGCAAAACTCAGAAAATACGACTCGAGAAGTCTGATGCCAACCTGAGAAGCCCTGGCACTGCTCTTTATGAGGCACTTCTTGTTTTCCTTAGTCCAGAGACATGGGACGTTAAGATGTACATGATATACACAAATAATAACGCATAAGCCCAAAATGATCTTAATGATTAAACAGTTCAATCGGATCAAAATGTCCATTGGATCCAATGAAGCGCAAGCCCTTTAAAAAAGAAAGATATGCATGAAGCACACACAGTCGTCTTTTTTGAGATTTTGAAATGCATTCAGGTGTAACCCTTGACACCACAGCCTGCCTGCTGTTCAGGACACTCAGGACCTGAGGGAAGCAGAAAAGACCCAGAAGAGATCAAAGAGGACTGTATCAGGATGTAAAAAGTAAAAGACTCCCGTTTACTGGCTTATGGAGATTTATTGCCTGGGATACATATATATATATGAAATCTAGAAGTGTTGTGGGGTCAGCAGAGGAAAACTGGAAACCTCCCCACCTTGTCTATTTTGCCCCACTTGTGAATTTATTTCACCCCCAAAGAGGGGAAACCACCCAGAATCCAAGGGACCTGATCCTTACCTGCCCTGAATCTTAGCTGGGCACCCAGACGTGTCCTCCAGGGACCCACTTCTGGCTCCAAGACTGTAGCAACTGTTTTAAGTCTTGCTGCAGCGAACACCCAGACAGGCAAACCCTCCCAAACCCAGGGTGCCCTCTCTCCCCTTCGCTGGCCCGCCCTCTGTCCTCGTCCATCTATCACCTGGTGCGGGCTAGATTTGGGGTTACCGAGGGAGTTCGTAGTTCAGTAGGGAAGGCTGACATGGAACCAGTTTTTGAAGAGGGTATCTCCCACGGAGCCTCTGCAACACGCGGGAGAGGGGAACAGGCGAACCGACCAACCTGGCTTGTGGTGGCTGGGATGATGGGAATTTGTTGTCCAGGGACAGCAGCCCTGGAGAAGCAGGTCAAGAAGCAGGTCAAGGCTGAGAGCTGAGGAGGGAGCCGGGAGAGGCTGGGGAAGTGTATTTCAGGAAGAAAGAGAGACACTGAGGGGGCTGACCTGTTCCAAGCTTGCTCCAGAGATTGGAAGAAAACCATCCAGGTTGGTTGGTGGCTGAGAGTGAGGACAAAGAGGAGGCTGGACATGGGAGGGGTCAGATCATGCTGAGCTTTGTCACCTTTGGTGAGGAAGGTGCTCCACATGGGGAAGAACAATGGGAAGCTGTGCAGGGTTCTCAGCAGGGGGTGACATGCTGAGATCCCCCACGTCTCAGGGGAAGCTGAGCTTTGGGTCCAGACTGGAGCAGGCTCAGGGGTCTCTGCAGGATACAGCTGACTGCACTGGGCGCAGGTGCTCCTGAGCAACGTTAGTGGGATGTTCCCTGTATCCCAGCCACCCCGCACTCTATCCCCCCTATCCCGCATGCCTCACCAGGGACCGTCATTCTATGGGAGAGCAAGCCCCAGAGAGGTTAACCAACTTACAGAGATGGGATTTGAATCCAGATCCCTATGAGTTCAACTCAAGCCTCTTTTCTTAACCCCACGCCATAGTGCAGGGTAGTCCTCTCAGGGGTCAGGTGCACGGCAATCCCTCAGTAAACGTCCACTCCTTCTTCCCATCCTCCTCCCACCACAAGGAAGCAGGTGACTTTGCAGGAGTCCCCTCCAGCCACAGGTGTCTGCCCTTATCCCCCTTGAGAGAGTCAGCTCAGGAACTTCCATCAGGGCAGGAAGGGACACACAGAGGCTTCCCAAGTGCCTCTGTGTGCAGGAGCCATGGGGCCACTGGAAGCAGAATTGCTGTGTCCATTTGGTGGCTAAGTGATGTCACCCAGTGTCATACTCCATTTAAAGAAACTGAGCTGGGCTGGGGATGTGGCTCAAGCGGTAGTGCGCTCGCCTGGCATGCGTGCGGCCGGGGTTCGATCCTCAGCAGCACATACAAACAAAGATGTTGTGTCCGCCGAGAACTGAAAAATAAATATTAAAATTCTCTCTCTCTCTCTCTCTCTCTCCAAAAAATAAATAAATAAATAAATAAATAAATAAAGTAACTGAGCTAAAATGCTGCTCTGGCCTTCAGATCACAGGTCCTGGAACAAAATCCAAACTTGTTTCTTCCTATCTTTGGAGAAAAAAAAAAAATTAAGCCTAGTTTTGTGGGTCAATATTATGGTGACATTTTGATCAATATTCTAAATATCTCCCTGGGTAAGGCCCAGATTCATTCAGAAGAAGTCTCTGCTGTATGGTGTCAGAGGTCAGAGCTCAGACGGAAACAAGTCCCTGTCTCCAGACGAAGCCCAGAGGACAACCACGGCTTGTGCCTTGAAAGTGCAGGTGGGAAGGGCTCGGCGTGGGGTGCAGAGGAGGGCTGGGGGATGCTGGCAGGGACCTGTGTCCTTCTTTGTCCTATGTCCCAGGTAACCTTCTGCTCCACACTGAGGTCATTGCAATGGGGTGGGCAGGGGGGCTACAAGAGGAGATGGACCCAGGACAGCCGTGGGACGTGCTGGCCCAAAGAAAAGCGAAATTGACTCAGAGGAAATGTTCTTGGAAGGAGACAAAGCTCCCCCAGCTTCCTCTGGAAATTGCTTTGTTTAATATGCAAAGTGCAGATGTGTTTAGATGACATCTCGGCATCCATCACCCTATGCAAATGCCGACCCTGGGGAAGAGGAGCCCCTGTAAGTCACTCGATCCCCTAATCGGGTGTATGTGGGTGATGGTGGGCCAGGGAAACAGCTCAGGGGCGGGTGAGAGCTCACCACTGCGGGAGGCTGGATGGAGGGGGGCGCGGGAAGCTGTAGGTCCACATTGTGCCCCACTGTGGGGGCCTCTGGTTCCTGACACCACCCCCACAGGCTGGCTGCTCTTGGGTAAAGGCTGTTGCTGCTGCAGCTATAGGCCACAGAAGGGCAGATCTCCAAACACTGGGTTCAGGACGGTGACTCTGGGGAAGTGCACAGAATGACCCTTTCCTGAACCCTCTGTCCCAGGACAAATGGTGAAGGGAAGGCCTGTCTGGGCTGGGGTGAGCTCTTACACTCACGCCTTCGTCAGACATCTTGGTCAATCCCCAGACCACGGAGGGCCTTCGGTGACAAAAACGCAACATCCTGGGAGTATTTCCAGATAGAAAACAGGATTCTAGTTCATTCTGACTTTCAGATAAATGATGGATAATCTTTTAATATAAGCACATCCCAAATATTGAACAGGATTATTTGTTGTTCACCTGAAGTTCAAATTTGACTGGGCGTCCGGCATTATTATTTGTTCAATCTGGAACCCTCTGCCCTGGACCAGCCTCCCGACTTTTTGCAGGGGTCTAATGGTGGCGTCAAGGGTTGAGCCTGTCCTCTGCCTTCCTTTCAACTCTTCCCACCTCTCCCGCCCCCTCCTTGCTCTGTCACAGGAAGCAAGCCCCACCATCCCGCCCAGGGCCCTGCAGGAATGGAGCCCCCTCTCAGGCACTCTCGGGTTCCCACCCCGCCCCCCCAGCCCTCAGAGTGTTCCCTGGTTGCTTCCTGTGTCTGTTCCAGGCTGGATTCAGGAGCCTGTGACATGCTGACTTGGTTATTTTCCTGGGCAAGTCTCTCCGAGGCTCCGTCTTTGGTAATGGTGCTTGTCTTTAGATGCAATAGAACGCGTTCACACCCAGCAGATGCTCCAATAGAAAAGAACACAGATCTACAATGTTCTAGAACGAGATTGGAAAATGCCACCAAGGGCTGGGAGCTGAGCTGGTAAGCAAAAGCTCTTCCTCAGCAGAGGATGCGGGGTGGCGGTGGTGGAGGAAGATGGAAACCTCACCAACTGCTGCCTCAGTTGAGAATTCACTTTCTAAGGAGCAGAACCCCCTCCCTGGAATCCTAGAGCGAGGTGCTTGACCGTCCCGAGGCTTCGTCTATAGGCTGTCCTGAAGGACGGAGGGCATCGTGCAGAGGACTTCATCTGCACTTGAGCACAGGAAACAGTGAACCATGTGCCCATCCTGAGCACAGGTGAGTGCAGTTCTCTGAATTTACGGGTCACCAGTAGCACCTTCTCCAAAGCTCTGTGCAGCCATTGCCCAAAACAAGCTGGATGCTTCCCACTGAGGTGCCAAGCACGGACCTGGAGTCGCCTTCAGGGGACAGGAGCAGGCTTGGGCGCAGCTCTGAGACCTCTGAAGCAGCCAGCAGTTTCCTATGTGGAAATCGCAACCAGCAGGATGGAGGCAATTTCCAAGCAATTCCGAGCTGTGGGTACAAATTCCGGGGACTCCGTTCTTTTGCAATATGGGCCACTTCATGGATCAAAATATGCAAAGGGTCAAAGGCAGGCAGCACAAGAAGGGTTTCCTTGCTGGTGTTCACTGTTTTTCAGGTCTGGGTGCTGCTTTGGCAGGCACATGCATAGGCTGCCATACCATCCTCTGTGACCCCAGGACGAGTCCAGGGCAGTGGAGGGCCCCGGTTTCCTGTGGACATTTTGACCTATGATCCCTATGTTCCAAGTTGCGGTCCCAGCACGTGTTCCTTGGTGATGCTGACTGCTCCCAACACAAGGTCTCTCTCTCCCTGAGGGCCAAGGAAAGACAGGCAGAGCCCAGCCATTGGTGGCCAGTGGCCAGGGGGTTCCTTGTGACCTCTCAAGAAGAGCAAAGGTCACCCAGCAACAGTGGGATTGCCCTCTGCAGACCCCGGTGGTGACCACTTCAGCCCCTCCTCCAGCCCACCCAGCCCACCACAGCAGCCCCCTCAGTCTCA